AGTTAGCTTTCCTTTCTTGTTTCATAATTGACTAAGTAAGAAATTAACTACACTTCAACAAAAATACAACTTTAAAAAATTCATAAAACAGACCAAAAAAAGTTAAAGTAAAGTTTTGTGTCGGCAAACTCTCCTAATGTTGTATGGTTAGTGGTTATATACAGCTCCATATTGTCATAAGATCCCACTATTAGGTGCCAAACATGTAAATATTTTTTGCTCGTTTAGCTCAATGTGGCGTATCAGCCTCTGCGCAGTTCCGGAAAGAGCGGTACCACGTGAGGAACAACATTTTCTTCACTGCTGAAAAAAGTTTCATGGACCATGCTGGAAAATAGATCGTAGCATGGTTTTCACTGCATTACATCTCCATCCAATTTTGGAATGTTTATCCGGGGTATATGAACTTCAATGTGGTTCGGCGATGAGCTAACCTTGGCCATAAGAGAGTTTCTATCTTGAAAAACGCGAAAGTTGGGTCATTTCCTATGGTTTAGTACTGCAGCTATAAAATATAGTCGGCCGATCCTAATGAAATATAACATGTATTATTTTGCTAAAAGTAGCATTCATACAAAATTTGAACTCTAAAAACCCAAAGTTATACCATTTCCGATCAATCAGTTATATGGCAGCTATAGGATACAGACGGCAATCCCGGTCGTTCCTACTTATATATTGCACTGTGTGCAAAGGAAAGAATGGTGTGTGCAAAGTTTCAAGTCGATAGTGTAGGGATATAACGATGTCCCTGGAGTAAAACACCAACACCAACACTTGCTTGCTGAAAGAGCAATGAGAGCGATGAGAGCACAAGAGAGAGAGCCAGAACCGACAACAGCCAACGACACCGACTTACACTAACAGTTTACAGTTATACAATACACTTATAGCTAATATATATATACCCTAAGTAGCAATCCTGCTACAATTCGGCCGTCCTGACATTTAAAGATCCCCTGATCTTGTGATATTTTACAATTGATTCTTACATCTATTTGACTTAGATACTACTAATTATTTATTTACAAAAGTTTACATAATATTTGAGCTTTATCTTCGTTTACCTATCCAATGTTTAATCCAATGTAACTACTCCAAACACCTTGATATGGAATACGTGACATTGAAAACCTTCAACATCCTTAATTAAATACCAGTCATTTCCTAAAATTTTGTCTATTACAAATGGACCCTTATGTTTGGGTATTAACTTTCTTGCAACGCCAACAGTACAATCAAAATTCTTAACCACGATATAATCTCCTACCTTGTATTTTTAACTCGCTTTCCTTTTCTCATTGTAATTTCTTTCATTGTCTCTCTGCAACTTTGTTTGACACTCTGTTCCTTTTTTCCTAATTTCGTCTAAATTCCTAACATTATCAGTATTATCTAATTCTTCTAACTTTTGCCTTAATTCATCTATAATTTTTCCTTTTTGTGCAATTCCAATTAATATTTTGCTCGGCATTTGCGCAATGCTTCTCTGCTTTGTATTGTTCAACGAAAACTTTTCTGAGTCTGCCAGTTTCGCTATCATCGGTCCTAATATTCGATTAATTCTTTCCACCTGCCCATTAGCTTGAGGTGACCCTGTTGCTATTTTTACGTGCTTAACATTATATTCTTCGAGAAATTTTTGAAAATCCTCAGATGTGAAACAACTGCCCCTATCCGAGACGATACACGTCGGTCTACTATATGATCTAAAACAGAGGTCGGCACCCAAATACATTGATATGATTTTACCGCATTAGTGTTAGTAACCAATAGCAGAAAGTAGGCTTTGAGCATGACGTTTCACACATGTATACTGTGTGTGTGTGGCAGAGCTCGGGCAGAGAAATTTCCTATGCCCCCGAGATAGGGCCGTGCCGACCTCTGATCTAAAATAATCTTTCAATGCTATAATAACTTCTTTTGTATTTGTTGTTTTTGTTGCATATAACCTAACATATTTTGTAAGCCCGTCTATGACGACAAAAATGTTTATTTGCCCTTCCCTTATCCACTGGCCCGTAGTGATCAATATGTATGATCTCAAATGGTACATTCCCTTTCGGAATGCTGTGTAATAATCCTTCTCCTTTTCCTGACTTTGGTGAAAACGCTACACACCCCAAACAATTATCAATATGCCTTACAACTTTCTTTTTCATATTTGCAAACCAATACGTCCTAACAATTGCATCCATAACCTTATCTCTACCTAAGTGACCTAACTCATTGTGATATTTATACAGTATCTTGTCTTCCATTTCTTCTGGAACATAAAACAACAATTTTCCATCATTTGCTTTCCTATACACTACTCCATTTCTCATCTCAAACATTTTGTCATCTTCTTTTTCTAACCTCATTCTAATTTTCTTTAACTTTTCATCTTTCGCTTGGCATATAACTAAATTGTCTTCAAAACTCACCGTTTCTACTACACATATGTTCGTATTCCTACTTAAGGCATCTACATGTTGCATAAGTTTTCCTGCCTTATGATGTTAACTCAAAATCATATTCAAGTAACTCTAAAGCCCACCTCGCAATGCGAGGGTTAAGTTCTATTCTGTTTAACGTCAACGTCAATGAATTACAATCAGTAACAATTCTAAACCGCCTACCTTGCACATAAATTCGGAACCTTCGTAGAGCATAAATAATGGCTAACGTTTCAAGTTCAAAGCTATGATATTTTGCTTCATCCTTCGTTGTAGCTTTCGAAAAATAAAATATAGGATGCAATTTCTTATCCTCTTTCCTCTGTAATAGTACTGCACCAAAACCATGTGCACTTGCGTCTGTATGTAGTTCTACCTCATCCTTATAATAATATAAACCTAGTACCGGTGCTTCTATGAGCTTCTTCTTTAGCATTTCAAAACAATCTAACTCTTTTTCTTCAAACACGAATTCGCAATCTTTTTTCAACAAATCATATAATGGTTTTGCAATCCTCGAAAAATCCTTTATGAATCTTCTAAAATATGAACACAATCCTAAAAAGCTTCTAACTCCATGCACTTTATTGGGGACTGGAAAATCTCTGATGGCTTTAATTCCTTTATCGTTTGCTTGTATTCCTTTGCTCGACACCAAAAACCCTAAGTACTGAACACTCGCTCGTAAAAACTCACATTTATCCATTCTTAGTTCTAATTTGTTCCTTGCTAATCTTTCGAAAACTTCTTTAAGTACACTCAAATGCTCTTCAATTTCTTTACTTGCGATCATAATATCGTCCATTTATATAACCACTTTTCCTTCTCTTATCATGTCTGCAAAAAATTGATACATCTTTGAAACACCGCCGGTTCGTTTTTTAGGCCCATTGGCATCCGCATAAATTCGAACTGTCCTAACGGCGTCATAAATGAAATATATTTAATTGATTCGTTCTCAACAAATACATGAAAGTATCCATGTTTAAGGTCTAATTTCGAAAATATTGTCTTATTTACTAATGTGTCCAATAAATCATCAATTAAAGGTAGTGGATAATTATCTTTAATGATTGTCTTATTAAGCTTTCTGTAATCCACACATAATCGCAAATCACCTGTTTTTTTCTTGACTAACACTATTGGAGATGCATATTCTGATTCGCTCGGCCTAATAATTCCCTCTTTTAAATACTCGTCTAATATGCTCTGTAACTTTTCTCTCTCTGTATACGCTAACCGTCTTGAAGAACTACTAAAAGGTTTCGAGTCCTCCAACCTCAGCTTTATTTCACACTTAACCTCTGGTTCCCTTGGTCTTTGTTTATTGACATAAAAATTTTCTATAATTCCCTATAATTCCTCTATAATTATATAATTGTTCACCAATTTTGTATTCTACCGATTCATCTTCAATATTTATATTCATCAATTCTTTTTCCACTTAATTTATGTCGAGTTTCGTTGCTTCTTGTAACCTAACTGCATTTCTAATCTTTTGTTTAACATTAACATCACTAACTCTTCATCACTAACATCATAACTGTCTTTAACATTTTCTAAATTTTCTACCGTAACCATCTTCAAGGTGTCAAGGTTCAGATTCAAATCACATGCTTCCATAAAATCTCTTCCCAGGACTACATCATGACTCATAGATTTGTTTGCCACAACAACTAAATGAAAATGTACTTTATTAAATTTTTTCTTTATATAACATAATATTCTGCCATAAGTTTTCAAATAACTTTCATTTATTCCATGATATGAACTTAAAACTGGCATTTTACAAATATTTTCTGGTACTTTAGATATTTTGATAAACGAAATTGGGCTCCCTGTATCTATGAGGAATTCTGTAATTAGTCTGGTGTTAGTGTTATTCTTAAAGTAAATTTCAAAATACCTTACATAAATGTTCTTGACCTCGCTCTTAACTTTGTTCTTTAGGCACTTCGCCACAAAATGTCCCATCTCGCCACACGCATAGCACGATCCTTTCTCTCGTCTTGGCTTCCTGCACTCCTTCGCCCAATGTCCTTTAGCATTGCAATTATAGCAACGCGTGTCCTTGCTGTCCTTCTCGTCCTTGTTCTCTGTTGCATCCTTTTTGTCACCATAATATTTAGGCAACTTCACCTCCGCAAATGAACGTTTGATGTGTGCAATATTTTCAAAGCACTGAATATGTGCCTGATTTTGAAGCCCTTGATTAGGGATTCCGTCAATGATACGACTTATCATCTCCTTTGTATCTATGTCGATTCTCTGGCCAAGCATCATCTTATCGTCAACATAGCTTCCAAAACTTTCACCGGAACTCCATTTCCGGTTCTCGAATTGACGCCTTGCCTCTAATTTCGAAACTTTATCCGAAAACATTGATATTAGTTCCGCAGTTAGCTCCACCAGCGGTAGCATGATGCGCTCCGGGTTTGCATGTAGCCACACGTTTGCTTTTCCATTTATTTTACTAATCATCAGCATTTTAATGTATTTTCCACTAACTCCATAAATGCTTGCAATATTATTCATTTGCGTAATCCATTTTCGTGCGCAAGTTTAGCCCGAAAAATCACTCACAACTTGTGTTGCCATGCCCAATGAAATGTCGACACTTGGGTTGTGAAATTCCAAAAACTCCGACTTCGCAACGTTGCCTTTTTTCACTTCTTCAGTGGCGCCTTCTTTTGCGCCGCTGCTGCCGGCTTCATTCCTGTCATTGCGTGCCTGATCTCCATCTTTGTCTTCTCCCTCGCCGCCGTCGCTGTTGTTGTTTTCGTCGCCGTCGTGGTCATTGTTCCTGACGCCGTCGCTGTTGTTGATTTCGCCGCCGTCGTGGTCATTGTTTCTGCCACCGTCGCCGCTGTTGTTTTCGCCGCCGTCTTTGCTGCTGCTCTCGCCTCCATCTTTGCTGTTCCTTCTGTCTCCGTCTTTTCCGCTTTGATCGCCGCCAACTTTACTCTTATTTTTATCGCCATCTTTTCCTTTAGTTCCACCTCCGTGTTTCTCGTTTCCTTCGCCTCTGACTTTTTCGTTTTCTTGGACTCCAGCTTTGTCGTTGTTGTTGCCTCCGTCTTCGTCGCCATTATCGTTGTCATCTTCTAGGCTTTCTAATTCCAGATCCTCTTCATATTCATCTTCATCGTTGTTTCCATCGCCGTCTTCGTCTTGATTCCTAATTGCTTCCAGATAATTACGCGTTTCCGTTGACATTTTATCCAAACGTAATATTAATTCGCGCTTCGTTCCCGTTGTTGGTAGCCGTAACGCACTTAACCACCGTTTTAATTGCGCAATTGCGTTGCTAACATCCATTTTGATTAAAATTAATTGTCATTAATTGTTTATTTTGCACGAGATCGGCCCACTTCTGATTTTGTAGGGATACAACGATGTCCCTGGAGTAAAACACCAACACTTTCCTTGTTCTATTTTATTTATTATTCTTGACTAGATCCGCTTCGGATCGCTGCTGGTGTTCGACTGACTCCGCTCTCAACTCGTGATCAGCATCAACCCTCATTGCTCGCTGAAAGAGCAATGAGGGCGATGAGAGCACAAGAGAGAGAGAGCCAGAACCGACAACAGCCAACGACCCCGACTTACACTAACAGTTTACAGTTATACAATACACTTATAGCTAATATATATATACCCTAAGTAGCAATCCTGCTACAATAGCTTTAAAATTGAGAGACTAGTTTGCGTAGAAACAGACAGCCAGACAGACGGATAGACGGAAATGCTCATATCAACTCAGGAGGTGATCCTTATCAAGAATATATGTACTTTATAGGGTCGGAGATGTCTCCTTCATTGCTTTGTATACTTTTGACCAAAATTATAATACCCTCTGCAAGGGTATAAAAACCAGAAAGGACAGAAAGTGCGAGAAAGGACAATGCATTTAAATACGAATTGACCGAAAGAGATAGAGAGCCACCGCTAACACAAGACGGCGAATGAAGGTAGCTTATCGACTGCATGGGAGCTGATGGTACAAAGTCAGAAAATGCACTGGTGCGCATCTGCCTCAGACCCGATTCCTCTGTTGTAGAATATTACAGAATATATAATTTTGGGAGAAAATATAAGGTTGTCAAAAAAATCTTGAGGTATTTGGCTTGCTATCGCTTAAAGCACATAGTTATAGTGGTGTTGTTGGATATCGTGTTGGAAACGATTTTTTTATTTACATACTTTTGTAATTCGTGAGTTATCAAAACATCGTAAGTTATTTGCGTCGCAAACATGGAGCCAAATAAAAAGAAAATCCGGCATATTTTACAATACTGTTACGACAAAGGCAAAAATTCATCTCAAGCTTCCAATACAATTTGGGGAGTTTATGGGCCCGATACAGTTTTTATTTCACAACATATGACTTCAACGTTTTTGTTTTGATGTTGAGATGATCGAAGATGCGCCACGCTAGTGATTTTTTATGAACTTTCTACAAAGAAAAGCGAGGTCGAACGCTTCAAGGCAGCACTGATGAAAAAAAGGCCATCCTTGTTCAACAGAGTGTATATGTAACCATGTAAGTGGGCAGATGGTAGTGTACTTAGCTGCAAGGCCGACCGACCTTTTGGTCGGTAGAAGGAAGTGGATCTCAAGGGTCCTTGTACTACTCGCTCGCAGTTATCAATCGATTATTTCAATGAAATTCGCGTGCCGAGGCTTGTACGTATTGAAGGAAATAGCGGGAAGTAGGATGAAGAAGTTTCTTGCATTGTTTTCGACATTCAGAGCTATTAAGGCCGTGGTCCTTGCGCTGGTGAAGTTGCTGCAGGTTACGTAAAGCTGGGCGGATGTTTTGCCACAGCCGTTACCCACCCTTCCATGATCACCTGTTCCGCGAAATAATTATTGGTGATCCCAAAGAAATCGGCTATTTAATTTCACTTGCCATCTTTATCCTGTATGACTCCCACAGATAATAGATTAGCAATTCATTTTTAAACGTTATAAAATTTATTCATGGTTATGAGGTTGCATAAGGCAAAAAAGGGAAAATTTAAATTAAGTATATAATTAAATGTATTTAGTAGATATTTTATAATCGGAAATGTTTAACCGAAAAAAAGATTATCTTAGAATTTATATCTCTATTTGTCGGCATAAGAAATAATAAGTCGAATTAATATAATAATATATAAGGCTATATAAAAGTAATATTAAGAACCATGTTTATGAAGAGAATCTTGTCTTCCATAGCGTGTATTCTCTAATATTATTTCTTAAAATCTCTCAAAGGTAACTCATTTATTTCAAATTTAAATTTGATAGCAAAGGATTTAGATTAACGTTATAAATATTTTTAAATTTTGGAACACAGAAAAAACCGTATAATAATATTCCAAGATTCCATTAATTTTTTTAAAATATTAATTAATTAATTTAAGAGTAAAAAAATATATTTATTTTTCTTCTTATGTCATTGCGGAAGGTCATTATTTAATATTGCGAAATATATTTAAAAAAAAGGACAATATATATATTTTCAAAGAAATTGTTAGCATTCTCGCACCAGTTGTTAGCATGTTTCAGTGTACCATAATTCTGTATTTTAATGGCAAGCCGCATGGTTCTATTTTACCTTTAGGGAAATAAAAATCTTTCATGTAATGTTTTTAGTACACTGAGAAAAATTGGCATAGCCACAAACAATTTTTAATTTGGGTAATTTTTTTTTTTTTAAATTCTAGCCAGTTCTACCCCTAAGAAGGGGTAAAACTTCCTAGGGGTAGAACTGGCTAGTTTGGGGACTTATAGACTTATTCCCAATGTAAGAACAAAACAAGAAAGGAAAGCTAACTTCGGGCGGAGCCGAAGTTGATATACCCTTGCAGTTAAAACCGGATATATATCGCAAACATCGGATATAGTTGGCCGATCCTTATGAAATTTGGTAGGTTGGATGAACTGACCAAAAATAGAATCTGTATCAAGTTCCAGCTTTCTATCTTTAAAAACACAAAAGTTGGGTCAATTCCGATCTTTCAGTTATATGGCAGCTATAGGATATAGTCGGCCGATCCTTATGAAATTTGGTAGGTTGGATCAACTAACCAAAAATAGAATCTGTATTAAATTCCAGCTTTCTATCTTCAAAAACGCGAAAGTTGGGTCATTTCCGATCGTTCAGTTATATGGCAGCTATAAGATATAGTCGGCCGATCCTTATGAAATTTGGCATGTCGTATTATTTTGCCAAAAATAGCGCTCATGTAAAATTTGAACTCTCTAACTCTAAAAACACCAAAGTTATACCATTTCCGATCAATCAGTTATATGGCAGCTATAGGATATAGTCGGCCGATCCCGGTCGTTCCGACTTATATACTGCGTGCAAAGGAAAGAAGGGTGTGTGCAAAGTTTCAAGTCGATAGCTTTAAAACTGAGAGACTAGTTTGCGTAGAAACAGACAGACGGACAGACAGACAGACGGACAGACGGACAGACGGACAGACGGACATGCTCATATCAACTCAGGAAGTGATCCTGATCAAGAATATATATACTTTATAGGGTCGGAGATGTCTCCTTCACTGCGTTGCACACTTTTGACCAAAATTATAATACCCTCTGCAAGGGTATAAAAAAATGGTTCTTACTGGGTCCCAATTCGACCTAAAAAAAAAAAAAGTGGAATTGAAAAAAAAGCGTCGCGTATTTGAGTTTAATTCTAAGATTGAAACCAATTTTATAAATAATAATTTTATTTTAATAATCTTATATGTTTAGTGGGGAGGAAAATTGATTATATGTTCAAAATGTTACTTTTAATTGGTCGAAACCGTTAAATGCCAGAATAAATGGTAATGACCTTTTTTTCTAAGATAATTTATTTAATTCATAACAAAATGGCATACTTACTATAATTCTTTAATATATCATATTTTCTCAAAATTGATTTTTTGATTTAAGCTCCTTTTGTCTCGTGTTTTGAGTTTTTATACCCTTGCAGAGGGTATTATAATTTTGTCCAAAAGTGTGCAACGCAGTGAAGGAGACATCTCCGACCCTATAAAGTATATATATTCTTGATCAGGATCACCTCCTGAGTTGATATGAGCATGTCCGTCTGTCCGTCTGTCCGTCTATCTGTCCGTCTGTCTGTCTGTCCGTTTCTACGCGAACTTGTCTCTCAGTTTTGAAGCTATCGTGTTGAAACTTTGCACACACCCTTCTTTCCTTTGCACGCAGTATATAAGTCGGAACGGCCCGGATCGGCCGATTATATCCTATAGCTGTCATATAACTGATTGATCGGAAATGGTATAACTTTGGTGAAGATAGAAAGCTGAAACTTGGTACAGATTATATTTTTGGCCAGTTGATCCAACCTACCAAATTTTATTAGGATCGGCCGACTATATCCTATAGCTGTCATATAACTGAACGATCGGAAATGGTACTTGGTAGAAATATCAACTTTCTTATTTTTAAGATAGAAGCTTGGGACTTTTTTTCGATTTATTATTTTAGTTAATTGGTTTTATTATGATGTATATATAAGGATCGGCCAACTATATCCGATGTTTGCGATATATATCCGGTTTTAACTGCAAGGGTATATAAACTTCGGCTCCGCCCGAAGTTAGCTTTCCTTTCTTGTTTATTTTATAAAAACAAAAAAAAAGACACAGATCACCTCTTATTGCTATAACTAAACAATTTTTTCTTTTCTAACTCTATTTTCAGAAATTCGAGAGCTAGTGCCACCAATCATTAATGAAAAAATTCTTAAGGTTAGGATCCGATTGGGAGATCCCTTGGTCGTAGCCTGTGACGCCTATGCCAACCCAAAGCCTATTTATAGGTAAGATTTATTTTAAATATGAGTAATTGTAAATGAGGCGCAAACTTAAATGCATATAAACAAAACAATATTAGTTTTAAAATTTCATAGAAGGTAACGCTAAAAATTCGGCTTAGACAATTTTATGATGTGAGGAACTCGACTTAATGCTCTTGAGTAACTATCAAGAAAACTAAAATTTAATCAAATTCAGCAAGGTGGCCAAAGATATATTTTTCCAATGTCATAGAAGGTAAGGATAAAAATGGCGAGTGGCGAAGTCGAGGAACTGCTATTGATTAATTTTGAAGAAAACTAGAATTTAACCAAAAATTAGTACGGCTTTAACCAAAATGAAGAAGGCTTCGAGTCGCGCGGTCAGTGAGCCGTGAAGATTTACAAAAACAATGCTACACAAATTCCGAGGCAGGTAGCGGGCCCGACCCCGCGGTCCCGAGTTTGTAACAACAATTAATAAGAGTGCGTTTGCGCACAACGCGACGACAACCATCGCGAGGGTGGTGGTTGTTGTTGTAATTTGTTGTTTGGCCGAGCTGCGGCTCCGACCGTTAGATTTCGTGCCCACCACTGCTTAAAGCTATTGTCGGGTCAAGCAGCCAGAAACTAGTTAAAATAATTAATTATTAACTCAAGTATTGTTGGTCGCAAGCCGACTCCCTTTCGACCGCTTTAACTAATAGAATCCGCTCAGCGTATTTTGGAAGGTTGGCGTCACTCGTTCTTTGTCTTATTTTGAGCTCGCACCCTAAATTGTATTTCACACATATATATAGATCCCAAATAAAGATTATGTAACGGTTAATTAAATACAAGTTGCTTTTTATTTTACTGGCATTGAATATAATCAATGTCCAAACAGCTATTTTGAAATTATTTATAATATAATAACTAATTATAGAGAGGAGTAACTAGCTACTAAGGTCATCGACTCGATGGATTTATGGCTTAACAATTAATAAGAGTTTAAATTAGGTGTTTTAGGTGTATGATTTTACATTTTGTTAAGAAGCATATTATTGGTTTAAATTAGTAGTTGTTAGGGTAGCTAATAAGTATAGCGGGATAAGCCCAAAGAAGTTGGTCCTAAGTTTATGATACGAGGGTAGGCTGATAAAAAAGTCGGCCTTACAAAGAAAAAACAATTTTTTTTAATTCGTAAATATTTTATTCGATAAGTTTTTTCCATCAGCTGATTACAGTGAAAGTTTCATACGGTTTTATCAACACTGGTAATTTTGGTCGGACTTTAAGCGCATTCACTTTTGCATTGTCCTCAACATAAATAAAATCGATGATATTGGATGATCGCCGAATCAAGCTGCGAGAGATTGCAAATGCTCTAAACATTTCTCGGGAACGCGTTGGAAACATTTTACATGTAAGTTTTCGTCAAGATGGGTGCCGCGATTTCTCACAATGGAAAATAAACGCAACCGCTTGCACATTGACAAGGAGAGTTTGGCATTGCTTAACGAAAACAAAAACGAATTTTTTCGTCGTTTTGTGACTGTTGACGAAACCTGGATTCATCACCAAAACCGAGTAGAGGTGAGGTAGTAGGCTCCACGAAATAATTATTCCGTGCTCGTCTACCACTGTGAAAGAGGTTGTGGCTTCCGATCAGAGTAGTTGTTGGTAACTTTTTGGAATAGCTGCTTAAACGTTGTGACTGGTGTCCTAGATTTTTTCAGAACAATGGCCGTAGAGCGTAATTTCCATGGGGGAGATGGGATGACCTTATTCCATCGGTAAGGCTTTCCAATATTTTATATCTTCACAAACTGTAGACGTCGAAACGAAGAAGTCCTTGCAAAGAATGGAGTTCGTTGAGCACATGAGTTTTGGTATCAGCTTAAAAGTGGTTAGGGCTACTCTGGTTTTAGTATCCGGTAATACGGCTTCGGCCAGGAAGTATTTCGTTGGGGTCGTTGGAAAGGCGACAATGCTCCGTCTCACAGCTAAGGAGGATAAGGAGGTAAGAAATTATTTAGGTTAAATGGCGCACACCATCCTTGGTGTGCCATACTCGATTTTAGACAGCATCAAGGCTTTCGTCGCTTGTATAAGTTTTGTGGTGTGAATTAATGAGCGCTTAGTTTTTAAGAATTTTATAATGTTGTTAAATATTATCCTAAGTTCTGTACAATATTGTTTGAATGTGAGTCGTTTATTGATAGTCAGGCTGTTAAGAGGAGCCCCAAGTAAATAGGTCTTACTCCATTGAGTTCCTTTTGGAAACTTATTTTATTTTGTAAAATTCTCTTATAAGAAAGATACATGAAAATCTTAAATTTATTTAAAACTACTTATCAACGCACTGCACGCTGACCTGCTATGTGACCGTTTCTCAAGTGCGATAAGCGCACCACTTGTGTACATAGTTGTGTAGGCTGCAAGGGATCGGTTTTAGACCATGCTGCTTTTGTCGTATTTCATGGGTCCGATCCCATTAAACTCTAACTTAAGAATTTGTATATAAAATAGTGCAATGCTTGAACACAAGCCGAAAATTTTAAGAAATGGTACGAGTTTCATGAAATGTAAAGCATAGTACTGAGTTGACGAACATCCGCTGTCCAACGAGTGACAGCTGTCAAACTCCATATAAAAAAAACGGTGTAAAAAAGGAAAGAAGAAGAAATTTTTGCCTTCTAGATTTTGCGGGTACTGAGTTGACGAAAATTTTTGTTATCGATTTTAATCGTGTTGCCGGATCAAAAAAAATAATCAGCTGCTCTCGGGGAGTTAAAATAAATATTTGAATTTATTTTTATAGGTGTGACATGGAGGGTCAATTGACCAAACAAAAAAATAGTCGGCCCGAAAAATTTTCGACGCGCCAGGACAAATTAAAATTAATTTCTGCGGTCAAGACGAAGCCCATAATATGAGATTTGACCCACAAGGGGCATTTTTTTTTTTTTTTTTTGTATTAAGTTACTTCCATCCAGGAAATTTTGGAAGATTTATTTGGCCGTCCCGAAGGGGCATTTTAGTGCCATAAAATGGCATTGAAATGATTTGTGATTGATTTGGATTTTGATTTTGACCCAGTTTTCTATTTCTTAATCAGCTCCTTAGCGGCGAAATACATAAACAAAACACCAACATCCAATCGTTTTGAATTCATTTTTGCTTATTTGTTTTTTGTTTACAAACAACAGCTGTTCAGTATTACCTTATTTCTTCATTGTTTTGGTCACACTACCTCGGCAGCCGAATAAAGTGCAAAATCGCTATCAGAATTTCAACAGCGGATTTTCGTCAACTCAATACTATGCTTTAGTCTCAGCGCATTGAAACAAACGAACAAAATTGATAACATGTTACGTTTACTTTTAGTAGAAAAACATGCCCTCCGCTTTTAACGCTTTTAACGCAAGGGGCATTTGCCGTGTTCGCCTCGCGCAAGTAAATTTTGGGCGATACAATTTTGACAATTCTTATATAATATGCTATGAGCACCCATGGAAGGCTATTTTAAAGATCCAAGAGAATTCATAGTGGATGATGCCATGCTCCACATGCGTCGTGGCCAGATAGTCGCCGTGTACGCTGACTTGAGAGGCCACCCACGGTAATCTTGAGGAATTTTATACTTGGACTTTAATGGACTGTTTTTGATCTTTAGCGACTCTGCTGGCCGAAATCGAGCAAGAGACTTTGCTCTACTAGATTTGCAGCCCCCTCCACTCGTGCCAACAGAAGCTCCACCATCCAGGCGCACCTAGGGTTTAGTTGGATCTTTAAAGCCTTGGATACTCGGAATGGTCTGAGTACTACTCGATTTTTTTTAATAATTGTGGGCGGCAATACGCATTAAAGTAAGGTGGAAAAGCTGCAACGGTTGCGATCTTGCCTTCGGAGTACTGCTTTAGAAGCGCCTTCGCTCCTTGGGAGTCTCCGATAAAAATTATGATGTGGTGCTGAATCTTTTGAAGAAACGATTTGATAGGAAATCGAGTCTACTGGAAGGTGGCTCAATTGCAACTCTTCGAAGGCTTTCGGACAAATTCAATGCCCATAGGCGAGGCTTTAAGAATTTCGGTACCCAGGTTAAGTGAGAGGAGAGTTAAAATTTCCCAAGTTCAGACGCCATCCCTACTTGGGAGTCCCTACAAAAGCGCTGGGCGCTCAGGTGGGAAGGCTGGATTCGGCGTATATGGACCACGACCAGGAGGCCCTCCTCGCTACGCTCTACTCAAACAGTTGGTGGAAGACAGCAGGAAGCATAAGATCGACCTGATCATAGGTTGCGATCCCAACGCCCATCATCATCAGTGGGGAAGCACTGACACGAACGAGAGGAGTGAGTCTGTCTTCGATTGTATCCAATCTTGTGGTGGGTAACAGGGGTAAAGAACCCACCTTCATTGTCAAGAATAGAAGAGAAAAACTTGACATTACTCTGAATTCCTAGCTGATAGGACTATTAGATGGCGAGTGCTAGAGACACACTCTTTCTCGGACCATCGATACCTAGAATAAGTGGTCAATTTTAGTAGTCACGAGATCACAACGTTCGTCGAAAAGGCACTTAGTGAGAAGGAATACGCACTCATTGCTATTATCTAGCATAAAGCGTCTTTAAAATCCAACACTTCGTGTTTCTTCAATGCCATTTCTTCAAGGAACTACGTCTCCATCCTGGCAACGGATTTCGAAAACGCCTTCGATCGCGTGGGGCTGCATGCAGTACTCTCTTGACTCCTGCTTTGGGGCATGTGTCCAAGGCTTTACAATCTTTTTATTTATTTATTTATTATTATTAACAATGATCTGTTATTTCTATATTATTATAACTAAAAGTAAGGATAAATTAAGTTAAAAAATATTCCATAATTTTGGATTTAATTACATCTAGGGATAGTTCAGGGGATAATAAATGGGACAATGAGTTATAATTTTTACAAATAACGCAAAATGGATCGTGTTCCGCAAAATTAGACCTAGAAATCGGTAACCAAAGGGTTCGGAAGGATCTAGTTACTCTATTAGGC